AGATTTGTGTCCATTAATTCTTTTGCGTAGAGACTGAAACCTGAAACCTGTGTTGTACTTGGGTACCACAATATGGTGGCTTTCCACAGCATAGACTGGATCCCTAAAGGACATGCTTGCACCGATGTACTTGCCTATGCAATTTTAAGGAAGCTCACACTGCAGCCATTTAATTTATGCAAGTAATTGGACAAGCGAAAGTATGTGAGTAGCCAGCAAACTGGGCTGCAAAGGGAAACATCCCTACATACTTCATTCCTTCACTAAATTTGCTTGAAACCCACTTGCTCAGACAAGAGCTAGCCAGGTACAGGGCAAGATTCACCCTTTGGAGAGCTCCCTAGTTTTAGGATACATATAATAGATTCCAGACCTATATCATTTTTTCTTCTGAAGCTCAGTTTTCATCTTGAAACACTGCAAATATGTCATACTAAAAATACTTTTAAAACAGGAACCGTTGGAGGAGAATAACGTAAAAATCTAAGATAAATTAAAAACCCAGGACGCTCTCAGCATGCTAGGGCATAGGGATAAAACCAACAGTAGTTCAGTGTTCCAAAGCGGTCTTAGCCATTGACTTAGGAGACCAATAGAGTTCATTTGGAGAGCAGAAAATGTGCATGATCAAAACATCAGGTACGCTCATGCCAGTGGAAAGCAAAGGAGGCTCCAGACTTAGTGAAGTGCAGAGGTAAACCAACAAAAAGAGTGACAAAACAGAGGACTATTCAGCAGGGTTTCCTTATTCGGGAAGAGTCCAGGAACTCACTACTCCTATGTTTCTGTGCCCAATTTCAATCCCTGTACTAATGTTTATTATAACCAGAGCCCTGCACCTACTGCAATTCCACAGCTGGATAATAAATCCAGATCAGCAGAGTTGACTAGCAAAAATAAGTGTAGATTAATCAGTTAACTCACACGATTAACTCAAAAAAATTAATTGTGGTTAAAAAAAATTAACCATGATTAATTGCACTATTAAACAATAGAATACCAATGGAAATGTATTAAATATTTTTGAATTATTTTTCTACATTTTCACATATATTGATTTATATTACAATGCAGAATACAAAGTGTACAGTGCTCACTTTATATTATTTTTATTACAAATATTTGCACTGTAAAAGTGATAAATAAAAGAAACAGTATTTTTCAATTCACCTAATACAAGTACTGTAGTGTAATCTCTTTATCATGAAAGTGTAACTTACAAATGTAGATTACACAACTGCACTCAAAAACAAAACAATGTAAAACTTTAGAGCCTACAAGTCCACTCAGTCCTACTTCTTGTTCAGCCAATCGCTAAGACAAACATGTTTGTTTACACTTACAGGAGATACTGCTGCCTGCTTCTTATTTACAATGTCACCTGAAAGTGAGAAAAGGCATTTGCATGGCATTTTTGTGCTGGTGTTGCAAGGTATTCATGTGTCTGATATCCTAAACATTCATATGCCTCTTCATGCTTGGGCCACCATTCCAGAGGACATGCTTCCATGCCGATTATGCTTGTTAAAAAAAAAGCGTTAATTAAATTTGTGACTGAACTCCTTGGGGGAGAATTGTATGTTACCTGTTCTTTTTTACCCGCATTCTGCAATATATTTCATGTTATAGCCATCTCAGATGATGACTCAGCACGTGTTCATTTTAAGAACACTTTCATGGCAGATTTGACATAATGCAAAGAAGGTACCAATGTGATATTTCTAAAAATAGCTACAGCACTCGACCCAAGGTTTAAGAATCTGAAGTGCCGTCCAAACTCTGAGAGGGATGAGGTGTGGAGCATGCTTTCAGAAGTCTTAAAAGAGCAACACTCAGATACGGAAACTACAGAACCCAAACCACCGAAAAAGAAAATCAACCTTCTGCTGATGACATCTGACTCAGATGATAAAATGAGCATGTGTCAGTCCGCACTGCTTTGGATTGTTATCGAGCAGAACCTGTCACCAGCATTGACGCATGTCCTCTAGAATGGTGGTTGAAGCATGAAGGGACATATGAATCTTTACCGCATTTGGCACGTAAATATCTTAGGACGCCAGCTACAACAGTGCCGTGCGAATGCCTGTTCTCACTTTCAGGTGACATTGTAAACAAGAAGTGGGCAACATTATCTCCTGCAAATTATAACCAAACTTGTTTGTCTGAGCAATTAGCTGAAGTAGGACTGAGTGGCTTTATAGGCTCTAAAGTTTTACATAGTTTTATTTTTGAATGCAGTTAATTTTTTGTACCTAATTCTACATTGGTAAGTTCAACTTTATCATGATAAAGAGATTGCACTACAATACTTGTATTAAGTGAATTGAAAAATACTACTATTTTTTATTTTTACAGTACATTTATAATAAATATGAAGTGAGCATTGTACACTTTGTATTCTGTGTTGTAACTGAAATCAATATATTTGAAAATGTAGAAAACATCCAAAAATATTTAAATAAATGGTATTCTATTATTGTTTAATCACAATTTTTTTAATTGCTTGACAGCCCTAAAAATAAGCTATTTAATTAAAAAGATAATTCAAGCTTCTAGCCACGTATTAGAGAAGAAAACTTCCACACTGTAAAACAAATGCAAACCCAGGCAGTGTTGTCTTTCAGAGTCTGCTAACAGACAGCCTTAAACACCTCAGAGGATGAACTGTCCCATTCATCTCAATGAGATGTTAAGTTGTTGCCATTATGATTCAGAGGGCTTGTCTACACTGGCAAGTTTTGTCAATGAAACTAATGTTGACAAGGAAAAAAGCTGACAAAAGCAAAGTCTCCAAAGCGTGTCTACATTTGCTCCCTCTGTTGAGGGATCATGTCCACATTCAGTGCACCTTTATCAACAGCGAGAGCAATGGACAGTGGGTACGTATTCCACAGTGCCTGGCGACACCATCCATTGCTAAGTGTTGTAGGAATGCGGAAACGGAGTGTGACGCATCCTGGGATGTGCAAAATGTACCGTCATGCACCGCTTTGTGTCCCACCCCTCCAAAGATCTCTGGCTTCCTTTCATGCCGTTTTTCCAACTGTCATTCTTTTGTAGTGCACGCCAGCATCTGCAGCGAGAGAAGTTGAATCTCTCACTTCTCTCCTATGCGTTGTTAGCTGTCATGAGGACATTGTGCATGGCAGCACAGTTACTCGCAGAGTTACTCGCAAAGTTAGCAGAGGATGAATCACAGGCACCAGAGTGTGATATGGACGACAGCAACTTATCAGTGCTTTGTGCATTCACAGAGCAGCTGCATACGGTAGACTGTTGCTTTTGGGCTGGGGAAATAAGCACTGATTGGTAGGATCGCATTGTCATGCAGGTGTTGGATGACAACCAGTGGGTACAGAACTTTAGGATGCGTAAAGCAATCTTCATGGAGCTATGTGCTGAGCTGTCCCCTGACCTGCGGCGCAAGGACACCACACTGAGAGCTGCCCTTTCGGTAGAGGGGCATGTTGCAATCGGTGTGGAAGCTGGTGAATCCAGACGGCTACCCGTCAGTTGCAAATCAATTTGGAGTAGGAAAGTCCACTGTTGGGGCTGTATTACTCCAAGTGTGCAGGGCAATAAATCGCACCTGCTGAATAGGACCATGTCTCTGGGAAATGTGCATGAAATAGTGGACGGCTTTGCAGAGATGGTTCTCCCTAACTGTGGCGGGGCGATTGATGGTACGCACATTCCAAGGTGCCTGACCACCTTGCCTCTGAATACATCAATAGGAAGGGGTACTTCTCCACGGCGTTGCAGGCACTTGTGGATCACCGGGGGTGTTTCACGGACATCAGAGCAGGCTGATCTGGAAAGGTGCATGACGCATGCATCTTCAGGAACAGTGGCCTGTACAGAAAGCTGCAGGCGGGGACTCTCTTTCCAGACCACAAGATCACAGTGGGGGATGTGGAAATGTCCATAGTAATCCTGGGAGATCCAGCTTACCCCTTACAGCCCTGGCTCATGAAGCCTTACACAGGGCACCTGGAGAGCAGCAAGGAGCATTTTAACAACAGGCTGAGCAGGTGCCACATGCTTGGCCATTTGAAAGCTCGCTGGAGGTGTCTCAATGGCAGGCTAGACCTTACCGAAGATAATATTCACATGGTCATAGCTGCGTGCTGCACTTTGCATAATCTGAGGGTGAAATGTTTGCTCAGGTGTGGAGCACTGAGGCAGAGCGCTTGGCTGCACAGTTTGAACAGCCAGATGCTACGGCTGTCAGAGGAGCCCAGAGGGCTGCTATTAACATCGGAGAGGCTTTGAGGAACCTCTTTGACAATGAGGGGCAGTAACACGTCTGCTTTGGAGTTGCTTCCCTGGTGCATCCAAGTACAATTTGGGGGCCCAAGATCCATGCAACACAATGCTTTAGGAACCTGTTCCTGAGAGTGAATTGATTGCTATGCACATTTGTAGAACACAGAATAAAACGCTGTACCATTAAATACCTTAGCCTTTATTTATTGTTAAAAAGGGTAAAACCTCACAACTGTGTGTAGCTCCAGCTATCATTGTGCAAGCTGTGAAAGGGGGTGGAGTGATGGGAAAACTCAGAAGTGCTGTGAAGTGAAAAGGAATGTGTGGGCACAGAGGGGGGTGGGGTTGGCAAAGAATTGTGCATCTGCATGTGCTGCAGTGGAGGTCGACCACCGATCTGCTCAGTCTGCAGCTGTATCAAAGACTTGAGCATCTCTCTCTGATCCTCCATAACTTTTATCATCCGCTCTGTTGCTTGCCTAGCAAAAGCAGCATTCTCTTTTCTGCCCTGCCTTTTGGCTTCCCAGCACTCTTTCCATTCCCTGGTCTGTCTCTCATCGCGCTGCAGCACCACCCAGAACATGTCTTCTTTGCTGCGCCTAGGGTTTTTTCTTATCTGCCGAAGCTAGTCCACGGGGGTGCGTGGCATGTTCTTCAAGGTCTGTGCTGAAAGAGAAGAGGGATTGTTACGTTCCAGCAAATGATTGAAACATTTTAGTAAAAAAGGCATTTTGCTAGTAGAAATCACTTTCTCTCCGAGACTCTAGGAAGGCACACAGCTCCGCGAGCACCCCAATCATGGTGAGTGGCGGGAAGGCGGTTGTGCATACGGACAAGAAGGTCATGGCTTGCAGAGCAGCTTTGCAGGGAACTCATTCTAAAATTATCCCACACTTTTTCACAGGCGGACAACCTGCTGGCTGACATTTTGCTGCTGCGGATAACCAGAGAAACCAGGGCACAGCTGCTGAATGCTTGCAGTTTTCACCCCGGTCAATATGCAGCTCAGTTATCTGCTGCTTTGGTCCCAGCTCCGGTGATTGCTAAATGGCAGGGGACAGTTTCCTACAATGGGGGAACTAACAAGGCTGCAATCCCTTGGAATCTGCAGCAGAAGATTAACAAGTACCTCTTTGAAACTTTTCAGAGCCTCTCTCTGGAGGATTCCCTGCAGGTCTCAATGTCCATCGACACCCTGCGTGGCCATGCAGATTAGCTACACAGGGCAATGTCCAGCTCACAGAAAACACTACCTGCCTCCCACTTTTCGATTCCCTACATAAGCCACAGCAATTTACCCGACATCTCATCTGCTTCCGGCTCCCCACTGAGCACTTCTGGAGTGGAGAAAAGTTCCTGGCTGCCTGCCCCACTGAGAGCACCACATCCTCTTCTAGCTTGACTTCTTCATCCAGAATTTCAGCCTGCGGGATACCCTCTCTTTCTGCTGCCTGCAAAATATCCACGGGGCTATCGGTGATGAAGGTGGGGGCACCACCGAGGATAGCATTCAGCTCCTTATAGAAGCAGCAGATCTTAGGTGCACCAGCGGAGTGATGGTTCGCCTCCCACGCCTTATGGTACGCCTGCCTCAGCTACTTTATCTTTGCTCTGCATTGCTGCGTGTCCCGATCATAGCTCTCTTCACACAAGCCTCGAGAAATCTGCCCATATGTGTCCCAATTTCTATGGGTCACTCGCAGCTGCGACTGAACAGACTCCTTTCCCCATATACTGATCAGATCCAACAACTCAGCAATGGTCCAAGCAGGGGCACGTTTGGTGCGATAGCCAGCCATGCTCACCTGGGAAGCTACCTGGGAAGCTCCTCTGGGAAGCCAGCAGGCAATGAGATTTAAAATTCCTGGGTCTTGCAAGGGGAAGGGGCGGGTTGGCTACAGGGCAGCGGAGTTCAAACCGCTGACCAGAGAGGCAGCCTGGAAATTGTGGGATACTTTCTGTAGGCCAATAAAATTGGGGGGGAAAAAAACTTTGTGTCTACACTGCATGTCTGTCAACAATAAAGGGAGGGGGAAAGACAATTCTCTCGCAGGGGTGGAAGTTGTTTGTCGCCAAAACTAGGCGTTTTTTCAAAAAAAGTCACATTGCAGTGTGTATGCTATTGCTGTTTTGTCGCCAAAAGCCAGTTTTTGGTGACAAACCTTGCCAATGTAGACAAGCCCAGAGTTAAGCACGGGCATTGTTAACTGTTTTACTACCAGTCATGAGAGTGGAATCATTCAGCAAATAAGCACATCTATTGTTGATGGATGAAGAGTGGATGTTTTGGATGCCACCAGTTGCATCCAGTGTGGTTGAGCACTAAGCCTAATCTACATTAGAAAATGTATCATTCCAACTTGAACCAGTGGGATTACACCTGAGCAAGTTACAATGGTGTAAAGCATTCAGACTAGGCATCCTGTTTTGGAGCCACAGTGAGCACTGCATCCACAGACAGAATACTCCCTGCAAGCTTTGCAAGACCTGTGAATTGCTGCAGAACTCCTAGCACAACTGCCAGCAGCAGGCGCATGTCTATTTGCACCTGTACATTACTTTTTCTGCCCATTGCCTGTCTAGACTGGTTCTGAGGTGCATGAGCACTGCTTACATTGAGAGGGTCCAGGACTGGGCCCTACTACAACCTCATGCTACCAATACCAATGGCACAGGAGAGGCTCCGGCCCCTCCCCCAAAGCTGCTGCTGCATAATTATGCAGAGTTGCACCTCCACTGGGTGATGGTGCTTGAGGAGATAGAGAAGATTTTTAGTTATTTTCATTTAATTTTTCAGTAGGTTTTTGTGAGTTTTATTTTGCCTTTTTTGGGTTCTTCAGTTTCTTTTTGTTCTTTATTTTGTCACTGGACAAATGGTTTCCCTTTCTTTCTCTTGTGTTTCCCTCTGGGGGCCAATGATGGGAGTGATCTGGACTCCTCCATGCAGTTCAGTCTCCTGTCCCACAATGCAGTGGGGTCCTGGAAAGGAAGGGGAGAATCCTCAGGAGAAGGGGTAGAGTGATGAGTAGTTGCTGGAGCACCATGTGGTGGCAAATGTGTTTACATAAGGGCAAAGATAACCTTGCTTGTATCATTTAATTAATGAGCTTACACTATTTAATATCTTGATTAATGACCTGGAAGAAATTAAAATCATCACTGATAAAGTTTGCAGGTGACACAAAGATTGTAGGCATGATAAGTAAAGATGAGGACAGAGCGATATGACCACTTGGTGTCAGGAATCAGGGCTTGCAGCAGAGCCAGTCTGCAAGCAACCTAACACGCACAGCTGGCCTGTAGTAGGCTGCCTGATTGGTTGGAAGAGTCAGCAGACTGGCTCTTAAGCCCAGCAGCAGCAGGTCTGCAGTGGCTTCTCAAAGCATTTGCCCACACTTGTGATAGCTCCTGCCTTGGACCCAGCCTTGCCCCATTCCAGGTAACCCAGCTCTGAGCCCATGGCTCTGATTCCTGACTTTGGACTCCTGTTCCAATCACTAGGCCTGACTGCCCACAACCTGGTCTCTAATACTTGGTAAGCTGCACAAGCCAATGTGCATTTCAATATGGCCTAATATAAAGTCATACATCCGGGAACAAAGAATTTAGGCCATACATACAGGATGGGTACTCCATTCCAGGAAGCAGCAACTCTGATGTGGCAGCCATGGTGAAAAATCAGCTGAACATCAGCTTCTAGTACAATGCCATGGCCAAAAGGGCTAATGTGCTCCTTGGATGTACAAATGGGAATACTGAATAGGAGTAAGGAGGTTATATTAGGTGATTTCCCCCCACAACACACACACTGATATGATCACTGCTGGAACAGGGTGTTTAATTCTGGTGTTCCCAATTCAAGAAGGATGTTAATAAATTGGAGGGGGGTTCAGAGAAGAACCAGGAGAATGATTAAAGGATTACAAAACATGCCTGATAGTGACAGACTCTCTTTATGCTAAATAGATCCAGCTTCTTGAAAGTTAAGGGGTTGTAAACTTGATTACAGTTTATAACTATCTACACAGGGAACAAACATTAGATAATGAGCTCTTCGGTCTAGCAGACAAAAAGATAACACAATCCAATGGCTGGAAGTTGAAGCTAGACAAATTCAGACTGGAAATAAGGCTTTTTTTTGTTTTGCCTTTTAAACTGCAAGGATAATTATCCTTTGGAACAACTTACCAAGAGCTGTGGTGAATTCTCCATCACTGGCAATTTTTAATCAAGACTGAATGGCAGGAATAGGCTACCATTAATTTAGACAGAGCTGTCTAAATAACACTAGTGGTCACTCCAGCCCCTGCAGTGGCCCAGGATCAGGTGGATGAAAGAGTGGCCTAACCCTACCTTAGCCCTGCTCCACCTGGGTTGAGAGGTTGGTGCTATGCCTCTTAGAGGCAGAGCACAGGATCTCACCCCCAGTGTCCAGTCACCTGTCCAGGAGGGTGAGGAGAGGCATCCCCTCTTGCATCAGAAGATTCAGCTACCTCCGAACTGCCCAACACTTAAACTGTCGCCCACCTTCCTGAATGTCAGAAATACCAACAGGTTTCAGAGTAGCAGCCGTGTTAGTCTGTATCTGCAAAAAGAACAGGAGTACTTGTGGCACCTTAGAGACTAACAAATTTATGCTCTAATAAATTTGTTAGTCTCTAAGGTGCCACAAGTACTCCTGATCTTTTTGAGAAATACCAACTTTTCCCTGCCCAGCTGTTGATCTCCAGGTTCCCCTCCATCCATAGTTCAGCTATTGTATCTTCAATACAAAACTTAGCCAAACATTTAAAATTTAAGGGTACCATAAACTAAGATGTATTCGGTTTAAACAAACAAACAAACAAACCTCAGACACCACAAGGGATAGTGTATGGGGTGTATTATCTGTTTTAACAGCATAGACTGGGGGAAAGTGCACTGGACTAAGTCAAGAGACTTGAGGTTTTCTCCCAGATTTATTACCAGTTTGCAGGGTGACCTTGCATAGGTCACATCATCCGGTGCCTCAGTTTCCCCCCCCCTGTAAAATGGAGACAAATACCATCTTTTGTAGGGCCCTTTTAGAGAGCTTTTCTTCTGTACATCTTAAGGAGCTAGATGTTGCTGAATTAAACTAGAGCTAGAACTGAGCTGCTGAATTAAAGTTTACCTGAATCTGCTGCAGAAACTACAGGGCCTTGGCACAACAGTTTCAGCTTGCTGCCGAGTCCCAATTATAACATTAGTATTTACTGGAGGACAAGCCACTAAGTTAGGTATTTCTTGAGAACTAGATAATGCACCGGTGGTCAGGTTAATTTGGGGATCTGCTGAAAGGTGGGAGATACGTGTGAAGAGAGAAAAATATGGAGAAAACCTACCCCAACTGGAATGACCACATTGAGTCACTCTGGAACTGCATAATACATAGTTTCCTTGTTTGCTGTCTTAAGTCCACACCCATCTGTCTCCACTAAACTACAGGCAATTGTTTCATTTTACAGTATTGCTGTAACAAGATCTCCATTTCCTCATCTCCAACATTTGTCATAGCAACATTAGGAAAATTTACTACAACAGAGTAGCTGCATTAGGAAAATTTACTACAACAGAGTAACTGCTCCCCCCAAAAGTTCACCTGTACGTTAAAAGCTTTTGGGTGAAAACAACTCAGACCATCTTTACCCAAAAAAGGTCGAAACCACAATTTCCATACATTAATTTAACATCTTACGTGTTTGTCATATCCATGTTCAGCTAACTACAGTACAGACCCCCCCCCAAAAAAAACCCTACTTATGTAAAAGCAAAAGAAGAAAATAGCCCTGTAAATTATATATTCCCCTGGATAGCTGTAAAAGTACTAAGGGAATTCGGGGTTAATTTGTTCCTGACATATTGGGAACAGTTTTATCATAGCTAGAAAGGGAATACAAAAGTACATTAATCTCCATAACACAGAAATATAAATTTGTTATTTAAAAGTCCACAACTTTGGGAGTAAAGTGTGGCCAGGCTACAGCAGTGATGCAATCACCTGAGTGATTAGTCATTTACTTCTTATTCTATGCTATTTTAATTTTCTTTGAGGAAAGAAGCGAAGAAGCACTGCCCCATTTACTGAAAGCCCAGAAACTTTCTCCAGACTCCAACTTCATGTTAGCTTTAAAATAAATAAAATAAATACAAAATAATTTGGCAACCCCACCCTTCAGAATTTATGCCATTACCCCTCTCTATATCCCCTAGGTCTTCTTGCCTCTCAAATACATTCATATGTAGATTCCCAAGATCACATGAAACACCCCCCCACCCATCCAAATCCTTCTCCCTTAGAGTTGCTACTACTACTACCAGTAGTAAAATCTTTTGAACTACAAACATTTGCTGCCCCCTCCTCACTATACAGTCCAACAGTTTTCTAACACAAGAATCCAGAACAATAATTAAGCTATTGAGTAGAGCTGGCCAGGAATTCTCCATCAAAATATGTTTTTGATAGAACAAAGCAGTTTCTGCACAATCAGTTTTCCCTGGAAAAGTTTTGAGTTTACCGAATTTTTTTTTGGATTTTCCATGGTTAAGTTAAAAATGAAATATTACATTTTGGGTAGTGTCAATATTAATATGTCTCGCCTGAGCGGATGCAGTGCCTCACTGGAATTGTAGGTCTGGTACCTCACACTCCCATTCCCCTCTATAGGCCAGTCTCCCTAGCTGAACCACCCATAGTGCATACAGCAGCCTCCCCTCTGACTGAGATGCTGCAGTGCATTATGGGAGTCCCAAACAGGGAGTCGAGCCCATATAGGAGAATGGAGGGAAGGGGCATCCAAACTGCAGTTCCCATGAGGCACTGCAGCAGCTTAGGGGGACACAGATTAAAGTCAAACCAAGTCAAAACTAAATGTTTTGACATCTCCAGATCGCGATTTTTCACAATGCTGCATTTTAACTTTTCATCCTGATTCAGGATCAAAACAAATTCTGAAATATCAAAATTTAGTGCAGGATGGAAATTATGAGAATAGTACAGCAGGTCAGATCAACGTTTCATAGATTTTTAGGCTGGAAGGGACTGTTAGATCATCTATTCTGACCTCCTGTATATCACAGGGTGTTAAATTTCACCCAAATACTCCTATATTAAGCTCAATGACTTTAGTTAAATTTGAGCATTTCAGTCCTCAGGAGACTCAACTGTTGTGTGCCGCAGGCAGAGAAGAGAGACCAAGGTGCCACCTAGGCCTCAGCTATGGCAAGGAACTGATTAGGTGAAATATGCCCAGCAGGTCCAAGCAGGCAATCCACACTGAAAAGGAAGGCAATCCTCGCTCCAAGATCCCTGACAATCTAACCTGGGGGAAAATTCCTTCTTAACTCCAAAGCTAATGATCAGTTTAATCCCAAGCACTGGGAGCAAGATATACCAGTATCTAAGAAAGAGGATTCTCTGTATCACTTCAGAGCACTGGTCCATCCTGTCCAGTGTCTCATTTCCAGCTGTGGTCAGTCTCTGACGCTTCAGAGGAAGGCAAAAACAAAAAACAAACCTCAGAATACATCTGGTCAATTGTGCATCGGGGGGAAAAAATCCTTCCTGACCCCGGAATGACCCACAAACTCTGAAGCATGAGATTTGTTTATAGTCACTGTCTGAATGCAGAGCTGCGAGTGTTATGAGCATATTGAGGGGAATGCCTGCAATCCTGTCCTCCCCATGTCCATGAAGGAAAGGAACCAAGGAGATTCCAAGGCTGGAAGGGACCATCATGACCATCCCAAACTCTCCCCCTCCTGTCGTGGGCCATAAAATTTCTCCCAGAAACTGGATTAAAGCATAACTTTTAGAACGATATCTAGTCTCGATGCAATGACCAAGTTATGGTGCTTACGCCTCACATTGTAAGGCTTGTTTTCCAGCCCCTAGATCATGTTTGTGGACCTCCTTCAAACTCTCTCCAGTATTTCCACATCCATGTTGAAGCATGGACACCAGAACTGGACATAGTATTCTAATAGTGGTCTTACAATGCTGTGTACAGAGGCAGGATTACTTCAATCCTTCTACCTGATATTCCCCCTTTTTATACATCCATGGATCACATTAGCTCATTTTGCCACTGCATCACTGAGCAGTCATGTTGAGGTAATTACCTACCACAACCTCCAAGTCCTTCTCTGAGTCATTGCTTTTCAAGACAGAGACCATTCTGTAGGCATATCATGCATTCATTGTTTCCAGATGTATTGCCCTGCATTTGGTTGTATTAAAAATCTTTTTATTGGATTGTGACAATTTAACCAGGTGATTCAGATCACTCTAACCGTAACCTGTCCTCCTCATTATTTACTTTTACATTTACACCAACTTTGCCATCAGATTTTTCCATCATTGTTTAGACCATTGATAAAAATATTGAAGTAGAAAGCAGTAAATATGGATCCCAATTCGCTTTGGTTAAGGAAAGAATAGCATTTTTAGACAAGGGACAAATCTTCAAAAGGAGCCTCAACCTGGCCTCCGTTAGGGTGGTTAAAAAAGGGAAGAAGGAGGATCCGGGGAACTACAGGCCAGTCAGCCTCACCTCAGTCCCTGGAAAAATCATGGAGCAGGTCCTCAAGGAATTAATTATGAAACATTTAGAGGAGAGGAAAGTGATCAGGAACAGTCAGCATGGATTCACGAAGGGGAAGTCGTGCCTGACTAACATAATTGCCTTCTATGATGAGATAACTGGCTCTGTGGATGAGGGGAAAGCG